TCGAAGGAGGCGGTGCGCCCGTGCGCTTCTTGAGAATCGAAACATATGTGCATGACAAGTTTCCCACAGACCCCAGGTTCAACAGGGTCTGTGCCGCGGGTCGAGGGTGGTACCGTGGGGCGCGCCATGTGACGTTACACACATTGTTCCCAGTACCCTGTTCCAAGGATCGTCCGAGAATCTCCGATTAAATAGTGCAGCGCCCCGCGCGCGCGCTTCTTTAATCGTGCAGTACCAACGCGCCCTGCAGGGACCCTGGGAAGACCAGGATCGCTTTCCCGCCAAAACTTTGGACGTTGTTCGAATACATCGCATCCAGTAGTCGTAGGCAGTCAGTAGGCAGCATGCCAGTCAGGGATCAAAGATCACAGGACGCTCCCACAAGCGCAGAATCTCCCAACTGTCTCCCGTCTTGCCACCCACTCTGCCGCTGCTCTGCCGCCCGTCCTCCAGAGTCTCCAACCCTACTCCGAACGTCCTCCAACCTCGGCATCGATTCATGTGCAGTGGCGTCTCTTGTGTCAGTCTCCACTCAGACACCAAAACACACCCTAGTTACAGTAAACCTCCTTTATTTATCTCTAATCTTACTACATTTGCCCTATAACCTATAGAATACCCTACGAACGATCAGCCGTCGAAATACCTCAAAGAATCTTCTTGTCACCATGAATCTTCGCATACCGACCCAGCGCCCAAATACAAAAGTAGAATTTGTAGTTCGGGTAGCTGATCATGCAGAACTAGAAAGAAACGCAACAAAGGAGTGGTAATCAGAGAAGGAAATGGAGTGGGCTTATCTAAAGTTGCTTTCGATTCACTTTCCACAACTCGTATGAAAGGGAAGAGAGGAAAGAAGACAAGTAATATCGCACTCTTACCTTGTTAAACACCCCTTCGATACTCTCTTGGAGCCACTCGCCAGTGGGTTGTTGTCTCTGCATAATAACCTGATGTTCCCAACAAAAAACACATTAGTTTCCGTTGAATAGCAGAGACTTCCTCAAAGAAAACATAGCCTTTCCATTTCTTTCCAGTGTCTCACCTTCACACCCTTCCTCAGGTGCTCCTCGTGCGGGTATTTGGCGGCCATAAGCCCCAACAATGCCCACGAAGTGTTGACGACCTGTGATCCGTTGGGGTTGTCCACCCATTCTTCTGTTTCGCACGCCTAAGTTGTGCACGCACAAATCACCAAGAGTTTTAACATTTAAAGCGTGAGCAGAGTATGAACTGTGAGCAGAGTGATTTCGGGACAGTCACGCGTGCTGAAAGGTGGAAGATCGTCTTACCCTGTAGCTTTCACCCCATCCTCCATCGGCCATTTGTTTCGAAATGAGGAAATCACACGCGCGCCGAACGACATCGCTGTTGTTTACATTCATTTGATCAATAAGGCAGACCTTCTTTGCTTTAAAGCCCACAGAAGAACACTCCTTTTCCCACACGCTTACCTGTTCTCGTACGTCTCTCCCACGGTAGCAAGCGACTCCAACGCGAAGAACATCGCGTAGGTGAAGCAAATACCCCAAGAACCGTACCACGATCCATCAGGACGCTGGGCGTTCTTGATGTACCTGATCGCTCGAGCAATCGTCAGGCTTTGAAATTCAGCATCGGAGAGAATGTGGGTGAGTTGATATGTCCAAGCGAAAAAGGACGCAGACTGCACAGATGCCGTTCAAAACAACTCATTCAAGGGTGAAATGAGACAAAGCAGCATACTCAATCTCATCGCGACGGTGGTCCGGGAAGTACTTCTTGAATGCGGAAAGACCCAAAACGACGGAGGTGGTGCATTCGGGGTAGTTGTATTCGATCATGATCTTGCCTGTTGTTGAAGAAAGTCATCGCATTGTTGACAGTGAGCGTTTACAGGAACAAGAAAACATAGGCAAGTCAGTCGAAATAGTGGAAGTCCCTCACAATGAGGAGCAAACACAACATGAAGGCCGTCTACGACGGTGTTGCTATGACACAAATACATTACCGAAAACTTCCGCGGGGTTCAACCACTCCAGAATCTGAGGTCCCCGAATCGGTTCGTAACTCGCGAAACCTCCATCCGGGTTTTGCATCATAAGCAAGATGTTGACAGCGTCGAATAGGCGCTCGTCGGAGACGAGTTTCGGGGTGTAGCTGTTGTATGAGTTAACAACGAACAACATGTGAGCGTTTGCGCTCACTGAGGGGGAACACGTCGGGGCCATCGCTCCACACGTTTGCTCTCGAAAGTCTTTGGCGTCTCATATCATAACACGCTTTGCCCTGTTCTAACTCACCTCAACTTATTCTGGCAATACACCACCGTCTTCAACCCATCCGCCGTACAATCCGACAGCGTGTACGTGTTTGACTTTGTCGAAAAGGGCCATGCGCCTTTGGAGTTGAAGCGGTAGCATTTCTCGAGGTTGGGCATGTCGTGACGGATTTGGGAATTGTCGACGAAATGGAGAGCGGAGAGGAGGGTTCCTTGGAACTCGGGTTCGTTGGCAAGTTCTGAAGTTATGGAAAGTGAGGTATGCGAGCTTTGAGCAACGCGTGCAACTGTGTCAAAGGTTACGAGGGGTGCTGAGGAAGACCCATGGCTAACCTGTGTCAATAAGACACTGGCACGAGAAACACGTGTCCCAAACTTGACTTCCGTTGGTGCCGTTCATTCTCATACCGTCGTTCGCCATCCTAGCAACGACATTCCAAAATCAAGAGATGGAATCAGTGGAGGGAATCACTTTCCAACAACAAAACCATGGACCAAACCGGACGTTGATCTGGATGATCTCACAGGGGGGACATGACGAACCACGCACTCTTTGACTTACCACAAGTATTCCTTGTTCCTCTCGACGTGCCGTCCGAAAGCTTCGGATTTGGGACCATCGACAATCCACCGGACCAGCATTTGAATCTGTTTGCTAACCTGTTTCAAATGTGGAAAGGCCAGACGCAAAGAAACGAACGTGAAGAAGGAGGTTCGGAGACATGAGAAAGAAAGGAAAGGATGGGTGGGCAAAGCTACAACGTGCATTCCAGTGCGTGGAAAGAGGGAAGTGTCGATCGTACCGGTGCCAAATCCGAGTAATCGGTGTTGGAATCTTCGGCACGAATGTGCTCCAGAGCCAGGTCGAGCGCCTTGCATCTCAGCCATTTGAAGCTCAAGAAGCTTTCGTACATCCCCAGAACACCTATTTGCCAACGAACATGTCGAAACGGGGAAGATGCGGTGTGAGCAATGGGCAATCATGATCCGCTCCCATGTCTAAGCAGGGGCGAGAAAACGAACTTACTGTGGAGAATATCCAGAATCCTGCTGTGTGGTTCCGCCAAATCGACTGGGGAGACGTTGTTGCGCTGCTGGGGCCAGTTGATTTCTTCGTATGGCGTCACGTACAATTCCTTGAATGAGCACAAAAACGGTTGGTAGGGAAAGGGTGATGAGAGAGGATCCCTAGTGTCGGATGCATCGGTCCCTTCAAGTTGACCACACACTGCATAATCAGTCCTTAACTTCCAACTTACCTGCCGGAGCTGCTCAATCAGCTTTGTCTCTAGAGCTTGGAACCGCAGTCCGTATACGTATCCCATAGGGAGATAAACTGCACGGGTGTGGATCCACCACCGCCAGGGGTGGAAGGGTACCCAGTTTGGCAAAAGCCTTCATTGAAATACGAACAGAGAGCCAATGAGTTTCCAAACGACAGATCCCGTGGTCGACTTTGCACGTGAAACAGAGAAACACATACCACAACTCGGGGGGAATGGGATTAACACCCTCCCAACTGTAAACGTTCAACACCGAAAGCCAAAACTTGCCCCACGCCGGAATCCCGGTGGCACCACCTTTTGGAATATCAGGTTAGAGTGATGGACCGGTAAAAGGCAAAAGCATGGGGATTCGCACAACCCACCCAATTTATGCAAAGTCCCCCGAGCTTTCACCAAGACTGGATCTTCGGCATCGCAACCGAGCAACCTCAGTGCGACATAGTTTAACGCAGTTCCGAACACTGTCGAGACACCTTCGATGTGCCTGTGGTGTGGACGAAGGTGATAACGGCCGGTGAGAAGAGAGTGCGTGAGATCCCCGTACTTAGCGCCCCTCCTTTCCACCAAGTGTCGTCTCTCTTCCAACATAATTCTCGGAAGTGAGCAAGAAACTTACAGGCCCCAACCGCCGTCTTCTGGGTGTGCTCTGTTTTTCAGGTAGCGAATAAGTTCCTTCTTGTATCCAGTGGGGTACTCGGTGTTGGTGATGTACATCGTGATAACGTATCCGGGGATCAGAAACATGGGTCCGCCGTATTCACCAGCCCAGTGACCGTCAGGAGCCTGGAGCTCCTTGAAGAACCGGAAACCATTTCGAGCTGCCTCGCGCGGAGTTGTTGCCTTGTCGAGGGTCCGGGCATCCTGTGAGCGAATGCACGAAGAGCGGTTCTCATAACGTTAGAACTTTGGAACATACCAGCAAAGATAAACATAACCCACGCTCACAGCACAGTTTCAAGTATTCCTCAGAGTAAGTGCCCCTGGTCGTTCACGACCCCACACATGAAACTAGACAAGGCAACCTGAGCCGCCCCCCTCACCTTAAGTACGCCGAGCCAGTACTTCTCGGTGGCATTTTGGGGAGGGGCTTGCTTGAGTTGATTCTCGTTACTGAGATACGACCAGACTTGGTTTCCGTCCTTGTCAAACGAAAGACGCCAGCGGTCGAGATCGTCGGTCGAGAAGTGAGGTTTAATTCCCATGATTTCGCGTGGGGGGGTTGAGGTGCTTCTTGGCTCTGAAGAATGGTGTGATGTAGGTGATCTGCTGGGTGATCCGAGTCGTTTAGGCAGGTCGTGGGAAGGATGTTAGGGCTCGGGGCTGTGTGCTCCCGTTGTCGTCGCGGTCAGACGATACCAATGAACCAATAGTATTGTGAGGATTCAGAAACAACGCTTTTCTTTGTGTAACTTCGCTTCAAAACTACTTAAAGAATTTGCTCGCGAACTCGACATCCGCCCTTAGCTCAGTTGGTAGAGCGGCAGACTGTAGTGTGCAGCGATCTGTAGGCCCTTGGTTCGAATCCGAGAGGGCGGATTTTCCCAGAACTCTTGGGTGACATGTCCTTTTCGTTGTGATCGCCATAGTGGTATTTTAACACGCTTCTGCTGCCTGTCCATGACATTTCCATGTACCATGGACCGCATCCATTTTGCTTTCCAACGTACTGAACTTCTGCTGAACTCTAAGTTTGTCTCGGGCAAGGCTACAATTATTGGCCTGCTTGCGTTGGGGAATGGAATGCCGGGCTTCGGAAGTGAAAGAGCAATTCAGCTTGCCACAGTTGCGCACTATCAAGATCTGACGATCCCACTTACGAAGAAAACGCACGGGGAACATCGGTCCTGTATTCTAAATAAAACGTGTCTTCTTCACTCTTACATAAGACAAAGTCGATACAAACAAATCATACTCATCAACCAGTTCTAACTACAAAACGGCCACGGTCTCAG